GCCTCCTCACTGACACCTGCATTCAGGGGGTCTTGGTCAGTCCCATGCTGTATTTCCAGGCATCAACCTGGGATTCAAGAGCTAACCCTTGTCAAGTCAGCTGTTTCTTATGGTTAAACCATCCCAGTCTTAAGCCCTTTGGTCATCAGTCCTCCCTTTCTGTCACTGGATTTCTTGAGTTCAGCTCAGTGCGTAGCCGTGGGAGTCTGCCTCTTCTTCCACCAGCCACTAAATGAAGGTTCTGTTTCCCAGACTCTCTGGCCATGGGATTGTAGGCTGGCACTCCCTAGATCTATGTCTAAAATCCATTGAGATATCATTTTACTCCTGTCGTAATGGCTAAAATAAAAAACACCAATGACAGTTTATGCTGGAGAGGATGTGGAGAGAGGGGAACACTCCTCCACTGCTGGCGGGAGTGCTAACTTGTACAGCCACTTTGGAAATCAGTATGGATTTTCCTCAGGAAAATGGGAATCGGTTTACCACCAGATCCAGCAATTTCACTCTTAGGCATATACCCATAAAATGCACATTCATACAACAAAGACATCTGTTCAACTATGTTCATAACAGCATTATTTGTAATAGCCAGAACTTGGAAGCAACCTAGATGCCCCTCAACTGAAGAATGCATAGAGAAAATGTGGTACATGTACACAATGGAGTACTACTCAGGGGAAAAAAATGGAATCTTGAAATTCACAGACACAAGGATGGCACTAGAAGAAACCATCCTGAATGAGGTGACTCACTCACAAAAAGACAAACATGATATGTACTCACTCATATATGGATTTTAGACATGGGGCAGGGGATTGCCAGAGAGTCTGGAAAACAGGGAGGACCCTAAGAGAGACATGCATGGTACCCCGGAGAAGGGGAAGGGGGACAGGATCTCCTGAGCAGATTGGGAGCATGGGGGGAGGGGAGAGGGAGCTGGGAGACAGAGAGGTGGAGGAGGGGAGAGGAGGACATGGGGGAGCAGGAAAGTTGAGTCAGGGGAAGAATAGAGGAGAGCAGGATGAGAGATACCATAATAGAGGGAGTCATTATAGGTTTGAGGAGAGATCTGGCACTAGTGAGATTTCCAGAGATCTGCAAGGATGAAACCAACTGACAATCTAAGCAATAGTGGAGAGGTTACCTTAGATGCCCTTCTGATAATGAGATTGATGACTACCTTTTATGCCATCCTAGAGCCTTCATCCAGTGGCAGACACCTACAGCTAAACACTGAACTGAACTCATGGAACCCAGTTGCAGAGAGGGAGGAGTGATGAGCAAAGAGATCAAGACCTGGATGGTGAAACCCACAGAGACTGCTGACCTGAACAAGGAGGAGCTCATGGACCCCAGACTGATGGCTGAGAGATCATCATGAGACTGATCCAGACCCCCTGAACATGAGTGTCAGTGAGGAGGCCTCGGCAATCTATGGGACCTCGGGTAGTAGATCAGTATTTATCCCTGGTGTACAAATGGACTTTGGAAGCCCATTCCACGTGGAGGGATGCTCTCTCAGCCTGGATACATGGGGGTGGGCCTAGGCCCTGCCCCGATGATATGACAGACTTTGGGGATCCCCATGGAGGGCCTTATCCTCCATGTTGGGGTTTGGGGATGTTGGTGGGGATTAAGGGAGGAGAGGAGGGTGAGGGAGCTGGGATTGACATGTGTAGCAGGCTTGTTTCTAATTTAAATTAAGAACAAAAGGAATGCCTGCTGTATAAATGTAGGGATCTGAGTTAAACTGTCAGCATCACTTGGCATGGTGATACCACATACCTTTAATTCCAACACTCAGGAGGCAGAAGCAGGCAGATGCCCGAGTTCAAAGTCAGCCTGGGCTGTGGAGTGAGTTCCATGACAGACAGAGCTACACAGAAAAACCCTGTCTATAAAACAAGCAAAAAGAAGAACAAAATAAAAAATTCCTACAATTCATGTAAGAAGTTAGATGTCTAACCCCACTACTGGGGGTGTGGTTGGGGAGACAGGAAGGATCTCTAAGACTGCCAGTCTGCTGACTGCCAATCTAGCTCCAGGCTCAGTGAGAAACCCTGTCTCAAGGAACAAAGTGGAGAATGATAGAGCAGGGCATCCAATATTGCCCTTTAGTTTCTGCATACACATATGCATGTACACCACACATGCACACACAAGCAACCACAGCACAAGACACAAGCTCTTAGGGGTGTAGGCAGAGACACAGGCATGTGTGTGAGCAGCTAGACAGTGGCCTGTGACAGGATGACACTTTCATCTGAGGGTTATGAAGGCCTGAGATAGACTTGCCCAGAGACATCTGTTTATTGTAACAACAAACTGGGCACACATGCCCCCCCCATTTCTGGTTGCGGGTCCTGATGTCCCTCAGTCTCTACTGGAACCTGGGTGAAGAATATTCTGCCTCCAGAGAGGACACCCCAGGTGCTTCTGGGGAAGAACAGGGTGCCTACTCTAGGCCCAGCGTGATCACAGCTGGGCTGGGGAGGCCTCAGGGTCCAGGGCAGAGAAAGTCCCTGAGGCTATGTTGAAGTCATAGGCTGAGCATCGATCTAAAGAGATCTGAATGAATGAAAGGAAATGGGGCTGTGAATGGCTAGGACAACTGGCCTTTAGCGACATGTGTAGGGGCAGGTGGAGCAAGCCATTGTCCAGGTGTCTTTTACCTGGAACATCTGCCTGAGGGTCATAATTTAATGGATTGCCCTTGAGAGCCTTGTTACCCATTGGTATCCTAGTCTGGGCTGATAGCATGGCACTTGGGAATTGGTCCTGTGGTGAGTTCCAGAAAACATGTAGGGTGTTCTGGGGATTCAACATGGGGAAGAACTTGAAAGAGTGTCTTTGGAGAGGGGCTATGGAGAAGCAGTTGGGAGATTATAATATAGGAGAGGGCTTAGTAGGTATTAATAGGTTCAGCAAAGGATGTCCCAGAAGTACATACATATTATGACCCAAATCTTCCAGGTCTTCCTGGGAGGATGGGAGTGAGGAGAAATAGAGTAAAAAAGCATCCTTGTTAATGGCCATGTGGGAATGTTTCTGGTGGAAACAATTATGTCAACTTTGAGATGTAGAGACCATCCTAAGGTTTGGGGTCTTGGTGTCCTTTGGGGTATTGTGAGAGACTCTGATTATAGGATTGTGAGGCAAGCTCTGGAGATATACACTATGATGGGAAGGGGATATTTCAGGGGTGAGTTTCCAATGGCAGGGGATCCTTTAGTAGGTCATTTAAAGGAGACCTTGAAGGTGGTGGATGGATATGTAGCATTCATCTGTGGAGTCTGGAGAGAGCAAAAGGGTTTGGTTAGCTAAGAGTGAGTGATGGGGGCATGCTCTTCTGTATACATGTTTCTCTTATTGGTTGATGACTAAAACATTGCCCAATATCCAGCAGAGACAGGAAGATAGGCGCGACTAGGAGATGAGGAGAATTCTAGGAAAGGTAGGCAGAGAGGTGTGGCAAAGGGATGTCATGTAGAGACCAGGAAGTCAGGATACACCAGGTGTTTTCTGGTAAGATAAGGGCATGTAGAAATACATAGATTAGTAGTTATGGTTTAACAATTAAGAGAGAACTAGCCAATAAGAAGCCCTGGACATTGGCTAACAGTTTATAAATTAACATATGTCTCTGTGTGCTTATTTGGGGTTGAAGGCAGAGGGACCTGGCTGGAAAGACGCTCCAGCAACAAGTGAGTGGCCCACACTCCTGACACCCTTCCTATCTCCCAGTGGTGATAGATTAGAGCAGCTTTAGTCCTACATCAGAGATTTGATTTGCAGTGAATGGCAACAATACAGCAGATGGTCAGAGTGCAGAGACTGAGTAAATGTGGAATTCTTAGCCCTAGAATAAGACAACATCACAGAAGAGGGGGCAGAGAATTCTTAGGAGCCAGAGGCCGGTGAGGACTACTGGAAAGTAGTATCATCATGACACATTGGGGCCATTGCTATAAACTCACAGAAGCTGTGGTTGTCTGTGCAAGACTATGCAGTATCAAGTTATTCAACCCTCCAGCATAGACAAGGGGGCTCATGTAGCCCCACTGCCCACTTGAGGAGCTTTGGATAGGGAGAATGAGTTTTCTTTAGGGAAGTGTTCCCTGTTCAGATACCTACACGGCAGTGCATGGCCGTACACGGCCGTACACTCATGCACACCTGGCCAGCATTGACTGAGTGGGTTCAATGGGCTATGAAAAGATGTTATGAGGTTGGAAGGAAGATGTGGTGGAGGGACTCTGGGAGTCTCTGGAGAGGAAATGAGAGGTGGGTATGAAGACACATTGTATACATATACAAAAACCTCAAAGGGAAAGTAAATCCATGGATTGATTGAGGAAAAAAGAATGAGTGGACTAAAAGGGGCACATTTGAAAGGATAACAAATAAGGGTGCAGTCACAGAGGGTGGGTAGAGTTCATGTTTGCTTGGAAGAACTCTGGGTATGGTATATAGAACATCTTGTGAAGACCATTTAGGGGAATGGTTTGGAGCAGTTGAGGAAGTCTAACAAGGGGGATGACCTAAGACTACCTGAGTCCATGGAGATTTGGGGGAGGGTTCCCCCTCTCCTCTCTCTCTATGTGATTCTGAGGGTATCTTGGGAATGTTTAGATGTGTCTGTGTGCTTTCCACAACCTAAGGACCTGAGGATGCCAGATGGACAGATAGACTACAGATCACTGGAAGGTGGGTTGACAGGACTGAAAGATGGTGTTGTTTTAGCATTTGTTATGAAGGAAGTATATTTAAAGGGATTAGAATTAGAGTCTCTCAGAGGGATGGTCATGGATATTTTAGGGTAGTTTCCAGTCAGGGATGTTTGGAGGAGAAGATACCAGGAGCGGGAGGGGCTGGAGATGGGAGGGTAAGGGGTTGAGGGGTAAGTTGGAGGTTGTAGGCCAGTGGCTTAATGAGAACAGGAGTCATCTGGGTGGGCCTTAGAGCAAGGGACAGAGTTGGAAGACAACAGGACTGAGTTTGCTTGGCAAGAAAGCTTTACTGCCTTCAGCCCTTCCCACCTTGTCCCCTCTTAGTAGCATTTTCGGTATACAACCTGAGGTCCCCTCTCTTCATATTGCTCCCGCAGGACCCAGCAGGACTGGAAAGCATGCAGCGAAGCCAGAATGGAGCCCCCAATCCACACGGAGAGGTCCCTGTTGGGCTGTGCCATCACCACCACGTGGTCCTCGGGTGGCAGAGAGCGCAGTAGCTCTGCCCTGAAGCGACCCTCTAGGCCAGTGAAGAGCGAGGAGCCTCCACAAAGGAGGACATTCTGGGCCACGTGGGACCGTAGTTCCCGAGGCACCTTGATGAGGCTCTGTTCAGCCATGGCTGGGAGGCCCATGGGCGACAGTCCTGGTATCTCTGGGGGATGGAATAGGAGCTCTGGGCACTGGAATAACTCTTTTCCAAGAGTGACAGTCCGTCCATCCGGCAGCTTCAAGGTCTGCTTGCATTCCTGATCTAGACGAGCCTGCTCCTTTTGGAAATCTGAGGCCAAATAACAGTAACGATGTTTGATGTTTTCCACCATGTCCAGGTCCTCCTGTCGCAACGAGAAGCCAGAGCCCAGCAGCATCTCTGCTAGGAAGGCCGTAAGATGGTTGCCGGCCAGGTCTAAGCGTTGGATGGCGTGGGGCAGGTTGTAGCCCTGAACAACGGGCACTGTGTAGCTGACGCCATGGCCAGTGTCCACAACAAGTCCATTAACACGCCCATGGGCATAGACTGACAATACAGATTGAGATGCCACGTATATGGCCGGGGAGTGCAGAGACTCAAAGGCCACTTCTACTAGTTTCTCACGGTTGGTGGTGGGGCTGAAGGGTGGATCTGAAAACAGTAGGGGGTGGTCCCGGGTGGCCACTCGGAGATCATGTTCCAGGATGTGTCGCCAGATTAGTTCCGCTGCTTCCCAGTCCACCACAATGCCATTGCGAATAGGTTTCACCAACCTCAGCTCAGGGCGGGAACGGGCTGCCTCCCCAATAAAAGTTTCCAGCTCCGACCGGCCCTTGGCAGTCTGTTTCTTGGGCTGGCAACCCAGGATGGTGGCCACGGTGTAGGTAGGTTGAGAATGTCCTGCAAAGCCCACCTTACAGGTGCCTGTGCCCATGTCAATAACCACAGCACCTGTCTTTGGTGGGAGCCTGTCACCAACCATGTTGAGGGAATCTTTCTGTAGACTCTTATTTACCAGGAGTGTGCTGGAGTTCAGGGCAAGAGGTGCAGGAGTCTCTGAGGAGGGCTGGGGTTTTGGGTGTCCATTGACATCCATGGCTGCAGGTGGCCTGAAGAGGCTGTTTCATAAGGTGGACCTCTTCTCTCTGGGGTGCCAGTAGAAAAGGCTGATCAAGTCCTAGGGTGGGCAGAAAGAGAGAGAGAGAGTATAGAATGATGGTGATCTGTGACATCACTATGCCTGACCTTGCTTCACAAAGTAGGGATGTAGTGGGTTGAGATGGATTGGGGGAAGGCAGGGGTAACCTCTTGTATAAACTTTACCTGGAAGAAACGTCTATACATACACGAGACAGAGTGAGAAGAAGAGATTCCACTCAAGTCTAGCTTGGTCAAAGAGTGAGTTTAATTGGGCTTGCTTACAGGAGTGTGGGTAAGGGGTTATTTATAGGCACATGAGTAAAAATATCTCTAGAAGCTTCCCATACTCAAAGACACCTGCTTGGGATAGATGGTTTCTGTCTGAAACCCAGACTGCAGTGGTCAAGATGACCTCCTGGTACAGATGGTCGTTATCTGAAACTGCAGGGGCAGAACCAAGACCAATAAAATCCCCTGCTAGGCACTTCCCACTGAAAACCCTCAAGCCCTTGTACCTCAGAGCACAGCCTCTATTCCCATGGAGAGGTTATGGCTCTTCATTGTTCTAACTAAAGGGCAGTTGATGTGGGAATTTTTGCCATCCCAATCCAGTATGATGTAATAATACCACTGAAGAAAAAAACATCTCCTTTGGCAACTCTTGACTGTCTGTACATCCTTGGAAAAGGGGATGGCTTTCTGAGCCCTTACCTATAGCAACGACTTACTGTCTTGGAGGGGAGGGGTGAGGACTTCTGGGCCCACCGTCTATAAATTCCTGGGCAGGAGTATGGTGGCCTTGTGAGCTTCGCCTCTGACATGGACAATCAATAGGCTCGATTTTATGAAGGTCTCCCGTGTACAGTCACGGCTGCAAGGCCATTTCTTGACAGAGGACAGAATTCCACAGCAGGGACCCAGAGTCCTCATTTCTTTACATCTACCCTCAGAGTGCCCAATTTGCAGAGGAAAGCGGGTTGTCTGACTCAGCATCTTCACTGCAGAACTCCCCTCCCCCAACACACACGCACACACGCACACACACACACACACACACACACACACACACACACACACACCACAGAAGCCTTCTATGGGCGCCTTGCCCAGTCTCTCAAGAACATTCAGAAGGTAACAGGCCAAACTGACTGGCTTTCTTTTTTTTTCTTCCCCTTTGTGGCAGCTTGAGTGTAATTGGCCCCCATGATCTCGTAAGGAATGGTGCTATTGCGAGATGTGGCCTTGTTGGAGTGGGTATAGCAGTGGTGGAAGAGTGTCCTTGTGGGGGCAGGCTTTGAGGTTTCCTATGCTCAGGATATTGCCCATTCTGTCAGTTGATTTCCTGCTGCTTGCAAGCCAAGGTGTAGCCAGCACCGTGTCTGTCTGCAGGCCACCATGCTCCCCACCATGATGGCAATGGACTGAACCTCGGAAAGTAAGCAGGCCACCCCAATTAAATGTTTTCCTTAAAGAGTTACCTTGTATTTTTAAGATAATGCTTCACCATAGCTGTAAACTTGGCACATACATGTAGTTTTTGATAATTCTCGTTGCATTTGAAAATCTTGTGTATTGTAAAATGGTTTTATACAAAATACAAAATGGTAGAAATTGTATAATTTACAATCAAATAATTAAAAATAGCAAACAGTTAAAAAAAAGGAGTTGCCTTGGTCAAGCCTGGCACAGAGAAAATCTCCCAGGTGTCTATGGGGGAGGACCCCAGCTTAGTCTTCCAGCAATAGTGGATAAAGTATCCCGAACTGGTCTTCTTTTATGACCAGACTGGTGCCTGGGCTAATTGTCATCAGAGAGATGTCATCAGCAAACTGAAGGAGGCAGATGTAGAGATACACAGCCAAACCTTAGACAGAGTTCAGGAGTCCTGAGGAGGAAGAAGAGGAAGGAGTGAAGAAACCAGAGGGGTCAAGTCCACCATGGGAAGGCTCACACAGTCAACTCACCAGGGCTCATAGGGGCTTGCAGAGTCTGAACTGACAACCAAGGAGCCCGCGTGGGACTGGCCTAGGCTCTCTGCATATATGTTTCAGTTGTGTAGTTTGATCCTCTTGTGGGAACCCTGACTGTGGGAACAAGGGACTGTCTCAAACTCTTTTACTGGCTTTTGAGACCCTATTCCTTGTCCTGGGCCATCTTGCTCAGCCTTAATACATGGGAGGTGCTTAGTCGTACTGCAACTTGATGTGCTACATTTTGTTGATACTCATGGGAGATGTGCCCTTTCCTGGATGGAGATAGGAGTGGATTGGGAGATGGGAGAGGGGTAGGGGTAGAGGGACTGGGAGGGGAGTATGGTGGGGAGGCTGTGGCTGGGATGTAAAATAAATAGATGAATGAATAAAAAAAGGAAAAAAGTTCAAATTTAAGAGACTGGAAGTCAGACTGACATGGAAAATGTGGTGGTTTGAATAAAATGCCCCTGATAGCCTCATAGGGAGTGACACTATTAGGAGGTGTGGTCTTCTTGGAAAAAGTGTGCCACTTGGGGTAGGCTTTGAGGTCTCAGAAGCTCAAGTCAGGCCTCTTGTCTCTGTCTCTTCCTGTTGCCTGTGGATCAAGATGTAAGGACTCTTAGCTCCTTCTCCAGCAACGTATCTGCCTGCATACTGCCTTGCTTTCTGCCATGGTGATAATGGGCTGAACCTCTGAACTGTAGCCAGCACTAATTAAATGCTTTCCCTTATAAGAAAAAAAAAGAGTTGCTGTGGTCAACAATTAACAATTCATTACTTCCTCAGGAAGGGATGGGTCCTCATGGATACTTCCTCTATCCATTGTGGATTGTTGGAAGGCCCAAGGTTGTGCATGTTTGCCTAGCTGCTGTGTGTTCACAGTTACAGTGGCAATGCCATATCTGGATGGTAGTGTTTCATGACACTCTCCCCTTACCTAGCCTTTGCTTTCTGTCCTCTCTTTTTCAGTATTCCCTGGACTTTTGGGTGGGGATAGTTCTCACTTGTTCTCTGCACTTTGGGTAGGGGTGAGAAACTGCATTCACCTTTACCCTCTGCACAAAGGAGCGTCTCTGCCTTGGGCTGAGAGCTGCCCTATGCTGTGGGTATAGACGGAGATATTTAGAAGGAAGTCTCACAACACATGCGTGTAGGGAAAGAACAGCCCTATGCTGGCTCGTTTGGCTCTGTGCCTGTCCCAGCTGCAGTACTCCCTGCTTTGGAGAGGAATTCTGATGCTTTCTGTTTGTTTTTTCGGATGTCCATAACAGCCAGGAACACACTAAGTGAAAGCACTTCATTCGTTCTTTTCAAGCAGATTTCTGTTGCACTTTTAAATTCTGTAATAGCAACTGCAGAGATGGCTCAGCACTTAAGAGCACTAGTCATCCTCGAAGAGGACTTGGTTTTCCATCACATGGCAGCTTACAACCATTTTTCACTCCAGTTTCAGGGAATCTGACGCCCTCTTCTGACCACATGCAAGCAGCGGGTGTTTTGAGCCATCTCACTTGCCCAAAAAGACATGTTTAGAATTTCCTTATGAGTCTCACATTGTCTATAGGTTTGCCACAGTCTTTATTTTGTAGAGCTATGTGCTTTCTATTGCTAGCATCAGAAGAGATGTTGAATTTTGCCAAAGGCCTTTTTTTTGGCAGTTACTGAGATGCCCATGCAACTTCTCTCCTTAATTCTGCATGCCATATTGCATTTATAACTTGCATTTGTTTTTTATATTTTAAAGAAATTTATTAATTAGCATAGAATAAAACAGAGAATTTTATTGGAGTTTCACTGTATTTGTAAAACATGTTGGGTTGATTTGATACCTATGATTATATTACTGACATTATTTTCCCTCCAGTTATTTATGCTCTTTCTATAATATCTGAATGAATATTTTATTTTTTATCTTATTTTTATTTTTTTGCCTGTTTGTTGCTACTTTTTTATTATTATTTTAACTTTAAATAGCTTGTTTTACATGTCAATCCCAGTTCACTCTCCCTCCCCTCCTCCCCACCTTCCCCCCAGTCTCCCACCCTATCGCCATTTCCTTCCACATAGTGGTTATCTAGAGTCTGTCACTTCACTCAGGGCAGGGGCCAGGCACTCCCCTAACAGTCCAGGCTGAGAGAGCATCCCTCTTTGTGTTATGAACACACGATGTCTGTTTGTATGCCAGGGATGAACACTGATCCACTGCCCAGGGCTCCATAGGTTGCCCAGGCCTCCTCACTGACTCTCACATTCAGGGTGTCCGGATCAGTCCCATGCTGGCCTCCCATCTGTCGGTCTGGGGTCCAAGAGCTCTCCCCTGTTCAGATCAGCTGTCTCTGCTGGTTTTGCCAGCCTGTTATTTGCCAATTTGCTCATCACTCCTCTCTCTCTGTCACTGGGTTCCTTGGGTTTAGTACAGTATTTAACGGTGAGTATTTGCCTCTGCTTCCATCAGTCATTGGATGAAGGCTCCAGGATGGTTATAGATATCAAGGTCATTGTCAGGAATGGGCATTCAAGGTGGTCTCTCCACTATTGCTTAGCTTGCCAGTTGGTGTCATCCCTTTAGATCACTAGAGGTCACACTGGTGTTGAGGGGCATCTAGGTTTCTTTCAAGTTCTGACTATTACAAATAATGCTGCTATGAGCATAGTGGAACAGACATCCTTGTTGTATGAATGGGCATCTTTTGGATATATGCCTAAGAGTGGAGTTGCTGGGTCTTGTGGTAGGTTTATTCCCATTTTTCTGAGGAATCTCCATACTGATTTCCAAAGTGCCTGTACAAGTTGGCACTCCCACCAGCAATGCAGGAGTGTTCCCCTTTTACCACATCCTCTCCAGCATAAATTGTCATTGGTGTTTTTGATTTTAGCCATTCTGACAGGAGTGAGATGGTATCTCAGAGTTGTTTTGATTTGCATTTCCCTAATGGCTAAGGATGTTGAGCACTTTCTCAAGTGCCTCTCAGCCATTTTAGACTCCTCTATTGAAAATTCTCTGTTTAGTTCTGCAGCCCACTTTTAGTTGGATCCTTTGGTGTTTTGGAGACTTGCTTCTTGTGTTCCTTGTAAATTTTGGAGATGTGGGGTTAGTGAATATTTTTTTCCCATTCTGTGGGCTGTCTTTTTGTCTTGCTGACTGTGTCCTTTGCCTTACAGAAGCTTCTCAGTTTCAGGAGGTCCCATTTATTAATTGTTGACCTCACTGTCTGTGCTACTGGTGTTATATTCAGAAAGCTGTCTCCTGTACCAGTTCGTTCAAGGGCACCACCCACTTCCTCTTCTAAGAGGTTAAGTGTGGCTGGATTTTATGTTCAGGTCTTTGATCCATTTGGACTTAAGTTTTGTGCATGGCGATTAACGTGGCTCTATCTGCAGTCTTCTACATGCCAGCCTCCAGTTATGCCACCTCCATTTGTTGAGGATGCTTTCTTTTCTCCATTGTACATTTTTAGCTTCTTTGTCAAAGATCAGATGTTCATACGTGTGTGGGTTAATATCAGGGTGTTCAATTCGAATTGATTGTTCTACCTGTCTATTTTTGTGCCAATACCAAGCTGTTTTCAGGACTATAGCTCTATGATACAGCTTGAAGTCAGGGATGGTGATGCCTTTGGACATT